TACCTGCGGTCCAAATTGGAGGCGGTTCTGCAGGAGCACCGGCTGGTGTCGCTCATCACGCAGCTCAGAGGTACAAGAAACCAGAACCTTATAGGTACCAGAACCTCTGGTCCGCTTCTGGATGCAGTGCTGCTGGTTCTGACCCGGCTGAACTAGAACCTCCTGCTTGTGTTTCTGGGTCCAGATGCCGTTTTCTGTGAGAACCACCAGGACCGAAGTCCAAAGGAGAAACTGCTGAGAGCCAAGCAGACGTTTGACGAGATGATGCGCTACCTGCCAGGTCAGTGTCACCTGGTTAACTACTAGTTAACTACTGGTTACATCGTTAACTACCTGTTACCGGGTTAACTACTGGCAACCTAGTTAAGCTGGACCGGTTCTCCAGAACTTCTTGGTGGTTCGGATGATGAGCTCTGTGTTAGTTACGTCCTGGTCCAGGTGTTCTGCTGGTCTAACGGGCTGCTGGACCAGAACCAGAACCAGAAGGTTAACCGTGTCGCTCTGCTTGGTTTCAGACGCCGTGGTGAAGCTGATCGGGGAAGAGCGCCAGAGAGACGGGATCGAGCTGCTGTTCCACGCGCTGCAGCAGCCGCTGCTCAACAAGCAGGTAAACAGAGGCTCCGCCCCCTGCAGGTAAATGGAGGCTCCGCCCCCTGCAGGTAAACGGAGGCTCCGCCCCTGACCTGATTGTCCTCTGATTGTCCTCAGATGACCTACGTCCTGCTGGACATCGCCATCCTGGAGCTTTTCCCTGAACTGAACCAGGTAATGGGACCCATGAGGGCAGAACCTCCATCAGGCACTGAACCAGTTCACTGTAGAAAAGAACTGTTCAAATTTATCAAGCCTTCCTGCACCATGATGGGACCAGAACTGGTTTCAGGAGATCCAACCTATACTTTTTAACCAAACGGGTCCAATTCATATTAAAAAACTCTTTGCGGGTCTGTTTCTGGTTCTGAAACAGACCCGGTCTGGTTTCTTCAGGTTCAAAGATAAACAGTGAGAAACATTACTGACCTTTGACCTCACAGATGTTTCCTCCTCAGCAGGGGCCGAGGGAACCCTTCGTTGTGTGACCAGACCGGGTCGGAGGCTGGACCTCAGAACCAACACCAAGGATCTCCTGCTGCTTCCCAACCATCAGACCATCCCACTTCCTGTCTAATAAACATATTTATTCCCCATCAGCTCGCCACTTCCTGTCTCCTTCCTGTCCAATACAGTCCGGCTTGGAACCGGTCCGGTCCGGATGCCTGGCCAAAGCCAGTGATCAGCAGAAACAGGAGAACATCTGACTGTGGGCGGGGCTTAAGATGGTTCCTGGTTGGACCAACCAACCATCGTCATCCAACCAGCTGAAGACACTGTCCTGCTCTCTGATTGGTCCATTTAATAGTTAAATTAAAACAAAGTTACAGTTGCTTAGTTACAATCGGAACATTTTCTCAGTCAGAAAAACGTAAAAGCTGTGACCGAATTCAGGGTCTGCATCCTTCGAGGGACTGGAATAAGACCGGAAGAAAAATACCTGTGGATTCGGACAGGTGTAGCTTCACCAACTGTCCCCACCTCAGCGTAACTCATGTTGCCTAGCAACCGTGACAGCGCGAAGCAGAGAGGAGAAAAAACAACGGAGCCGAAGTTTGTTTTTCAGTCATGTATTACTGATTTTTATATTATTCTTCACCTTTTATAGTAAAGGATGTTCCATAGTAAAAAGGAAATCTCTTAGTTTGATTCTAAAATGTTCAAATGTGTACTGCACTTTTCTACGAGGAATACAAATTATTCATTTACAAATATAATACTCTCCACATCGCAGATAGGACATTACGGTTATTATGTTTGAAGGCTTAACTTTAATTAATCAATCAAACCGATGTGCTCTGCTTTGACATACTTTGTAAACCAAACATTTTCAACCAGACCTGTCTGAATAATATCGGTGTTTAACTCACTCATTGGGGAAAGCTAGCGGGAGTTTTTATAACAATGTGCCAGGAGTTAGGCGTTTTCTCTCGGTGTACCGAACCTGGAGCGCCCGGCCGGCTGACAGCTGGAGGGGAGCTGGCCGTTAACGCAGCGGTAGCAGACAGGTCCGAAAATGTCAGAGCAATATTGCAATTAGGTGATGTATTGATGGACCCAGCAGATATTTGAGATTTACACACTTACATTCTCGCCTAAAAACGTTGTACCAAATCACGTTGTGTCATTTAAAGTGTTATAAAGCTAAATAATTTGTTGCTATTCACCGCCATTGACTTCTGCCTGAACGCCCAGTTGGAACCCGCAATGAATTATGGGATATTGTGGGCCGTGAAGGATACACCGGACCCATCCTTCAAATCTGGGGAAAAGAAGGAACACTTGAATTCGGACAGGCCTTGTCGCCACGCTATGACGTAATCGGCCTACAAATCCGTCCTTCGAAGGATGCAGACCCTGAATTCAGACGCATCCAGAAACCAAGGAGGAAGAGGAGCAGGGAGAGGAGGAGGGGAAGGAGGGAGAGGGAAAAGAGGGGAGGAAGAGGAGCTCCACTCTTCATCTCCAGCAGTTGCTTTCAGGAACCAATCAGGTCATCTGGACATCTGGGATGCAGCCAATGGCGGCTCAGCAGCAGGTCCAGCTGGGTTAGTGGGAGGAGTAAGTGGGAGGAGTAAGTGGGAGGAGTTAGTGGAGATTAAACTTGCAGTTCCTGGTGAAGCGCCCCCTGGTGGTGGCTACAGGAAGCGCATCGTTGGATTTTTGTAACAGAAATGTTCAGGAGGATAAAACCTGTTCAGTTTGACTAACTACTAAGACACGAGGATCAGAGTCCCGCTGTGGTTCTGATGGTTCTGCTGGAGGTTCAGCAGCTCAACACGAACAGAACCAGTAAACCCAGTGAGGACAGGGTGGCCTGCAGGGCGGGGGCCCGGCTGAGGACCGTGATGCGTCCCTCCATGGCCGGATAGACCCATCCCTTCTTCTCCATGTAGTTGGACAGCACCAAGACGTCCAGATGGCCTGGAGGAACAGAACCAGGTCAGAAACGGGTCAGACCCACAGGACCGGGTCAGAACCGGCGGGTTGGGCTCACCGATGCTGTGCTTCAGAATCCCGTTCTTGATGACGTTGAAGCCGTCTCCACCCGTCACCAGGTAGGACGGCAGCACCACGGTGTACAGCGCCGCGTCCTGGACCGGGTCGTAGCGCGGAACCCGACACCGAGTGCACAGGATGCTGAGGCTGCGGACCCGGCGACCCGCGGGTCGGGACACATCCAGAACCACACGCAGGCCTGCAGTCAGGGGGAGGTATACCTGTGTGACCTGTTCAGTTGGACCCAGTGGGACCCATCCGGACCCGGTTAAGCCCAGTGGGACCCATCCGGACCGGTCTTGCCGCAGACCTACCTGAGACCTGCAGGAACTCCCCCGCCTTGCTGCCGTGGCGATGGGCGCCGTGCTCGAAGGCGGCGCGCAGCGTGGATCCCTTCAGCTGCACCAGGTCAAAGGTTCCTCCGAACGGCAGAACCGTCAGCAGGTCCTCCAGCGTCACGGAGCCTGCGGGGCAGAACCACAGCTGGTCCTCTGAGCGGTCCAAACGGGTCGGACCCGCTGGGATCGGACCCATACGGGTCGGAGCTGGCCCGGCCTACCGTTGTAGGTGCGTTCGTCGATAGAGGAGCGGATGCCGCCACCGTTCATGATGCAGGCGCTGACGTGGCTCCACTGCTCGCCATCAAAGGACCGGGTGTAGTTGTCCACCTGGGAGACAGAGACATAAGTGCCTGCAGAACCGGAACCAGAACCGGAAGCGACTCTGGGCCGGACCCACCATGGCGTCGCAGATCAGGTTCCCCAGGTTGCACTCCTGGAAGCGGCAGGCGGACTGCGACGCGTTCAGGAACACCAGCGTCTTCCCTACGACCCGGCCCGTGAAGCTGGTCAGGTTCTGCTTCCAGGCCTCCACCTCGGCCAGAACCGCCATGTCTGAAACCCATCAGAACCCATCATTCCCAGTGGGCAGGTCTTCCTTCCCAACAGGAAGCTGTGTGGTCAGACAGGAAGTAGCCGTCGTACCTTGCTGGATGCTGCTGTCCAGCAGGATGGGGTTCCCAGTCGACCTTACCACGTTCCCGCCGTCGTCGAAGGTGACCTTGAGGAACCCCAGGTATTTCCCGAAGGCGTAGGCCTGGACCACCGGGACACGGCGGCCATCTTCCGACTCCTCCATGATCGGATAATCCCCCTCTGGCTTCTCCAGGGACGGAGGCTGACCTGCAGACAGGAGTCAGCATTGGGGTCAACGTCGGGGTCAACGTCAGGGTTTCCGTTTGGACGGAGCTGAAATGTGTGAAGTTCAATCTGATCAGAAAACCAGATTCTCCTTTAGTGAGCAGAACTGAGTTCTGTCGGACCGGGCCGGTTCTGTGTCATGAATGCTCAGACTGTGGAAATGGAAATGAAGTTCCTGGAAGATTAATGAAATGAACAAAGGGCCTTTGTTCATCTCGCAGATCTGGGTCCAAACCTGGTTCTGTTCCTCTGGTTCTGGATGCAGATCAAACCGGGTTGAAAATGGAAACATTCAATTGGAGGAACTTAATAACAAATGTGGAACTGATTGTTCTAAGAAAGTTACAAAACGTCCCAACGGTGCATGCATTCATTCATTCATTCATTCATTCATTCATTCATTCACACCACAAATCCAACGTCACTAACTGGTCACATTTTGGACAAACGTAGCAAAACGTTTCCAGATCTGAGGACGGGTTTTGTTTCTGGAACAGTTTGTTCCAGATTTTCTCTTTTTAAAATATTCAGTTGGTTTTTTTGTGGAATTTCCAGTTAATAATATAATAATTGCAACAAAATATGAGACATGTTGGTTTGATAAAATGTTTTTTTCTCCTGGTTGAAAAGGACAAATGCAGAACAAAAGCAACAAAGTCATCANCCCTCTGCCCTGCTTACCCCCCCGCCCCCCCCAGCCACTCGACCCTGGCCCCCCTTGTCCCCCCCTCTCCTGTTAACAAACGGGCCTGCTGCAGCTGGTCGTCGCCGTGGCAACCGGTTCTTTGTGAATCGCTGCAGCGACGAAGCCCAGGTACTTGAGGCGTCCACAATGCCGCCTGCTGAATGCATCCCTCGTTTTCCCAACTGGAGAATGCAGCGTTCCGGACCCAACCCCCCACCGGACCCGGCCCGGCCCGGCCCGAGCCACTCTGAAAACCCAACGGCTGACGGTTCCAAATGTTTCTACAGTCAAACTGAATGTTGGGAATGTTCTTACAATAAAACCCAAATATTCCTGGAACCGGTCCTGATTCTGTTCTGTTCCCTGCAGATTCCAGGCAGAATGCGCCGCAGCGTCCGCCGCCATCCTTCAGCAGCGTTCCGCCGCCGTTCCCCAGGTGAGTCCAACACTCCGGTCCTGGTTCTGATCCGAATCACTTCAACCCAGCAAACTGCTTTACTGTCCTGAGTGATGGGAGCCGTTTGTTTTTCCAGGGAATGTTTCAGTTTAACTGTTAAAACTGAATAATTTTCCAGGTATTTTTGTTTTTCCTGTAAAACTCTGGCGTTCCCGGTATTCCCGTCGGTATTCCTGCCTACAGGTGTGCAGCTTCATGACTAACGCTGTGGCAGCTCTCCAGTCCTGATCCGGCTCCTGGACGCAGCTTCCCGTCGCCCCGGGTCGATCCGGGTCGCTCCTCATTCCCGGAGGCTGAGAGGTTTCCTTAAGCCTCTCTGGAACTCTGAGTGGGGATTAGGGAGCGGCGCTCCGATCGGAACGCCGCTCTGATTGTGACATGGTTCAGTAATGAGGGATGGGAGCGTCTTCATTATCCGGCCGGACGCTGTGGAAGCTGCGCCGATCTGAGCCAGAACTCCAGAACCAAACAGGAAGTTCAGCTGCTCTGCGTTTCATTGAAATTCCCAGATTCAGGAATGTTTTTATAAAAACTCTCCATATTCAGGATCGGAAAACATTGGTTTCAGGAAGGAAGCTGGAAAAGTTTCCTTCAGAATCAACAAATTCGTTGCAAAAACAACGAACCAATTTTGTGGTTTCTGAACTCGTTTCTGCAGACAGAGGAGCTGATTTGATCATTTATATCGTTTTAAAAAGACGGATTATTTCACTGAGAAAACATTTTTCCATGTTGTAACTGAAGCGTTCTGCCAGTGGAACTAGAGTTTTATCAACATCAGTGAATAATTCAGCTACGCTAGCTCCTGCCTTCATTGGCCTTTCACTTTTACTGAAACTGCAGAAATATTTGGTAAAATGTTGTTTTTGCAGTGAAACTAAACCGCCTCTGGGAACGACGAGTTCAGAGAAATCCAGGTTCTCCTTTTAAGTGAAATAAAAGCAGATTATTTATTCCTGATTCAGTTGACATATTAATGTTAAATTGTTCCCGTTACTCTGGATTTCCTTGCAATGTGACACACCGGCCGGTAATGAGATGTTGACCTCTGACCTGCAGAGTGACGAGATCTAAACTGCAGAGCTCCCTGCTGTAGGATCCGGTTCTGTCCGACCAGAACAAGTCCACTTACCGGACATGACCGGAGCTAACGAGTGAGCTAGCTGAAGTTCTGTAGCTAGCCGAAGCTATCAAGAGTTAACCGGAACTAGCCGAAGCTATCAGGAGTTAACTGGAACTAGCCGAAGCTATCAGGAGTTAACCGGAACTAGCCGAAGCTATCAGGAGTTAACTGGAACTAGCCGAAGCTATCAGGAGTTAACCGGAACTAGCCGAATATAACCGGCTGAACGTTGGTGTGTGCAGGCAGCAGCAGCCGTACCGCGGCGGGGGCCACGGCTGGGACCGGACCCTCCAGGCTCAGCAATCTGCGTACCAGCAGAACCTGAACCGCGGCGGGGTGGGACCGGGCGGCTACCAGCAGCGCTACGACCAGCGCCGGGAAGACTGGGGCGATCGCCGTGACAACCGGGGCCAGCAGCAGGTAAACATCTGGGATCAGATGGATCCCAGTTTAATTCTGGTTCTGACCCAGTTCTGCTCATCACATCCTGACGGGCCAGTCAGATCAGAACCACTTTGATTTTTCTAGATTTTCATCTTAAAAAAACAAAATGGAAAAATCAATGTGAAACTTAAAGTTCAGACTAAAATTAGTCAGAACTTTAATTTTTACTTCAGATTTTTGCATTTTTAATCTCCCTGCAGTCCGATCCGAGCTGAGTGGTTTTAATTTAACGGAGCTCCAGTTTAAACTGGCAGAATCCTAGTTTGACTAAGGAAGTCTAGTTGATCAGAACCGAATCCGGAACCGTCTGGGTTTTATCCGGTGACATTAGAACCAAGTTAATCATCAATCTGTTTTCCTGCTTTTATTATCATCCAGATTTTCCCATCGGACAAAATATATTTGGGAAGTTTTTTCCTCAACTGATCAAATTCAAAATAATCCCCCTTTTGGAATGAAAATGTTATTTACACGTTGAAATGATGAAATCTGTTTAAAATGATTTAAACACTTTGTTGTTTTCTGTCGTGTTTTAAATGAAAATGTATTTTTTTTTTCCCAGTCGGAATGAAAGCAGCTTCTTTGTTTTCCAGGCCAGAGGATTCCCTCTTCCTCCTCCATCCAGACATATCCACTGGAATAACTGAATTTTCCAGGATGGGAAATTTTTTAAAATATTTTAATTTTCTCTGTACAATATTTTCATCTTTTTAAAACCAGCTTGTAAAACGTGATGTTGACGTTTTGTTTCTGAGAGAAAATTGTGGAATAAAACAAATGTTGCTGGGATTAAATGTCTTCGGATTATTATTTTTTTCTCATTTTATTTAGATTCAGTTCATTGAGACAAAGGAAATAATTTTAAATAGAATAAAAATCCATTTTTTTACATGAAATATTCCGTTTTTAAAAAGGAAACAGTCATGCCTGAACAGAACCGGCTTTCATTTCCACTTCAGTTTTGGAATCAGCGTTATCAGCAGACTGGACTAGTGAACCGGAACTCTGAGGAATATTCCCTTAAATCCAGGAGGAAGTTCTGGTTCTGGTCCTGTTCGGTTTTATTTCTCCTCCATCCCGCTGGAAGTCGAGTCTCTGCATAAAGGAACCGAGGTTTTACACGCGGAAATAAAAACTGGATCATTTTCCCTCTTGCGGTCCTGTGTCGGGAATGTTCTCCAGTTTTCCCGGTTCTACCAGGTTCGGCCGTACAGTAAATTGGATCCGAGCATGCTGCTGGTGTACTCGATGAGCGCCGCGTCCGTCTGCGTCAGGTTGATGTGCGGCTGCAGGCCGAGCGGCGGGCTGGCGCACAGATCCTCCGGCTGCTCCGGGGAGGACCGCTGGCTCTGGTTCTGGTTGGCTACCGCGTCAGCAGAGCCGGCCTGGCGGGTCCCGGTGTGGCTCGGTTCGCCCCGGCGGCTCCTATCTGCCTTGGAGAGGAGCGGGGACCCGGCGGAGGAGCGGCGGGAGGCCGCGCTATGGCCGCCGGCCTCCTGCTGCTGCTGGGCGGCCTTGTCCTTGGCCTGCCGCTTCAGCTTGTAGCGGTGGTTCTGGAACCAGATCTTGACCTGGTTCGGGCTGAGGTGTATGAGGCCGGCCAGGTGTTCCCGCTCCGGGCCGGACAGGTACTTCTGCTGCTTGAAGCGCCGCTCCAGCTCGAACACCTGCGCCTGGGAAAAAAGGACCCGCCGCTTGCGGCGCGGCGCGGCGTGGAGCGACAGCACCGGCTTGGAGCCGGGCTCCATCCCGGCCAGGCCGCCCACCATCCCGGGGAGGCTCACCGCGCTCGGGGCGGCCATCAGCCTGGAGACTGGGAGAGACTGAGTTAAAAACTAACCTGGAAAAATCCGCCAGTCATAAATAAAAATTATTTATAGTTAATTTTACTTTTTATTCTAGTTTCTTTATTCTCTAAATAATGAAAAATTTAAAACACATTTAAATGTTTAAAAAATGTATTGAAGGAAAATGAACAAAATTGCAACGAAATTCTGTCCTTTAAGCAGGTTAAAAAGTAATTTAGACTTTTATCTGCAATTCGACTAAAACTCAAGTTTAAAGTAAAGATTCATTTTCTTTACATTAAATTATTTTTAGCTCAATTCATAAAAATCAGACTTATTTTAATAAACTTTATCCACTCTACGGGGGATTAAACAAACCCGAACTATTAAATTCAGTTAAATACTATAGCTGCAATTCACAACAAATGTCTCAAGGTTTTTACAAAAATTCAATAATTTCGATTTAATCATCTAAATATCCAAAATGTTCCCAGCTATAAAACTAATTATTCAAAGTAGAATAAAAAGTTTAAATCTCAGCAGACTGACTCTACTGGACATAGAACCAGTTTTTCGCACTTTAAATAAATCAAGGAGCGGTTCGGGCCGGACTCACTGCTCTGGTAGCGGGGCTCCGGGCCGCCGTACCAGGCGGCGGGCCCTCCGCTCCGCCCCGGCTCCGGGAGCAGCTCCCCGCCGCCGCCGAACCCCGCCGCGGCCCCGGAGAACTGCGGTACCCCGGGGGGAGTGTGGTAGGCGGGTCCGGGGCCCAGAGCTGAGGAAGAGGAGGGAGTGGGCAGGTGATGATGGTGGTGGTGGTACAGGTGGTTCTGGTTCTGCATCTGGGTCCCAGGCTGCCGGTAGGCCCCCAGCGGGCCGGGCTCCATCCCTCCGAACCGGCGGTACGCCTCCTCCATCGGGCTCAGGATGTCTGTGACTGAGTACGGCGTGGACAGCTTCGGGCTCATGGACAAGCTGCGCGGTCCGGTTCGGATCGGCTCTGTGCTGGATGCTGGTCCGCCTCCCTCTCGCGGGCCCCGTCCCGGTGGGGGCGGAGTGACGGAGAGGTTCGGTTCGGCTCTTCAGAACTTTCTCAGATCTGCAGCAGGAAACCGCGCAGCGCGTGCAGCTTTCACCTGTTCAGGTTTCAGTGATGCGGGGCGCGTGAAGAAGCGCGTGCACGAGAAGCGTTCATGTGGAAAACCACATGACGTTTCCACCTGTTGCAGGGAACACAGGTCCAGTTGTTCGGAACCAGCGGGTTCTGCCGCATGCAGCGGATTTTCTATGGAGTGAAAATAGTCTCAAAATATCTGTGTGTGTAAAAGTATCTGTGCGTGTGTAATACTGGATTTGTAAACCTTAAAAATAAAATAAACCTTCTCCTACACCAATACATGTTGAAAAAGTACACACAAATCACCTGGTACACACACACAAAACTGCATTTACACACAGATCCAGTTCCAAGTGCACAACTATTTTGAGACTCATTTCACGCTTCGGGGAAGCTCCGAGATTTGTGCAGATGATGCGTTTACATGCTAGTAAAAGCTGGGACATCTGAGTTTTGCTCTGAGTCTAGTGCTTTTATCCTCTGACGTTTCTCACTGTGCCGAAGTGGCAAATACGTTAGTTCGTGGAAAACGGTATATCTCAGCACTTCCTTATAATATCCTAAAATTATTTATAGACATATTGTGCATTTTTGAACGGTACAGGAGACTAAGTGGTCTGAAAAACGACCACTAGGTGGCGGAATGGTTCGCTGGCCGGAAAAATAGCCAGGCAAACCCAGAAGCAATACGGAGCGTCCCGCTGGTCTGTCCTCTGAAGTAAGTAGGAGCTAAACCTGCAGGCTTTGCCCTCCGATTATAATGAGACATGGAGTAATTATAAATGATTTCAGGTTATGTTTTATATGTCTGGTATTTTATACTCTGCCCTCCTCATATGTTTCTGTTAGCAGGAGCTAATGTTTCTGTCAGCTATGCTACTTTAGTTGTTGGGAGTCCGTGTATTTTTATTGTCTCATTCTGCACAGTTTGAATATTTAATCCATAAAAAATGATCTCTGTGTGGTTCTTACAGTTTCTGTTTTGCCCAAAAGGTTCCAATCACATTTCTAAGTCAAGTTGCTGACTGATATTTGTATCTATAATTTGTGAGATATTCTGATTTGCCTTTTACTTTATTCACTAAGTGAATATAATTAAGTGAAATAAATTGTTTTTCAATTCTAGTTTATTGACTTTCTATGTATAAATAACATTTTATATTTATCTCTACACAGGACGAAACGACTGAGTGATGGATCAGGTCTGGTGTTATTTCACTTTCTGGAGGATCAGGATCTTTCAGATCTCATCTACCTTCTGATCCGATGGAGC